GTAGTATATATATGTGTGTGTGTGTGTGTGTGTGTGTGTGTATGTGTGTGTGTGTGTATTATATATATATATATATGCATTATATATATACATATAAATATATATATATATATATATATAGTGACAGAATTGCTTGCAGTGCCTTATATATCATGGGGCATTATACCTATTCGTACGTTACATAAAATGGGACAAGGCAGAGCGAACTGGCGGCCTATCTGTAACTATGGAGCCTGAGAATTCGAACAAAAGAGCCGATATACGTCAGTCATAGGAACGTAGGAGGTCAGTTGACGACAGTCAGCAGCCGTACACCAATGCCTTCTACACTGACTGACCCTACGCAGCCCTCGACACAGTCGGATATGGACAACGAGCTCAATGTATTCAGCTCAGATGTGTTATTAGTATCAACAACACCTGCGTGTTCCACGCACATCTTTGCAACATCCCGGATACAGAATCGGTTAACTTCCGATGGCGAATTGATTGCAAAACTGTGTGTTTAATCGCTGTGTATATTCATTTCTTTACAACCCTTGCCCGTGGCACTCGCATCAACTGGTACCCAGGATATATATACAACTAAACCCTAAACCCAGTGCTCAGCGTTTTGGGTGTAGGCCCTTTGTAAACCCTAAATAGACAGCTTTATACCATTGTAAGTATCTCATGTACAACCTTTCCTCGGCAACTGGCGCTAATGCTATCCGTGATCTTAGCGTTGAATTCCCAGTTGTGACTGCTGTCACCTATCTCTGGCTCGCAGATGGTGAGAACTTTGCAGCAGCTCCTGGATAATTGTCCATTGTCACACGTGTTCGATTGGTGAGGTGCAACACCGTATCGCGCATCTTACTGAAACGCGCTCTATTAAATATACAACAAAATTCTTCCAGCGGCGAGGTTGATGGGTAGTCCCAATTTGAAATGTTAAGGTGCATGATGAATGCGTGCAGGGTGTGTAGGTATATCTATTTGGTTGCTGGTGTGTAGGTATATCTAATAGGTAGCTGGTGTGTAGGTACATCTGATAGGTAGCTGGTGTGTAGGTACATCTAATAGGTAGCTGGTGTGTAGGTATATCTAATAGGTAGCTGGTGTGTAGGTACATCTGATAGGTAGCTGGTGTGTAGGTACATCTAATAGGTAGCTGGTGTGCTATTTATGTGGCCTGAGGACGTATGTGCAGGATCGTGGTATATATACTTAACAGACAAAAGTGCTGTGATATACCCTCGTGGATAGCGGGTTCAATGTATGTTTGTGAGCTTCTATAACGAGTATGCAAGCGTAGTGCCGTGGTGTGTGGTGTTACTCTGGTTCTCCTGAGCTGTACGCGTTTTCGCACGTACACAAGTTGTGCACACACGTGCATAGTGCCAGTGTGTGCATTCACCAGTAGACCAACCTCGTCGAACCAACACTCAAGCACGAGGTGAGTGCTTCCCTGGGCAGAGGAGTGGTGCTCGGGAGGATCTTGTTTTCTATTGGAGGATAAAAATAGACTGCTGCTCCGGTGTACACTGATCACATGGTGCAACTCTCCAGCACTTTTCCCCACTGTCCCACAGACAAAGGCCAAGTATTCCTCCTGTAGAATGAGTGAGAAGGCATTGAGGATGACGTAAACTCTAAAATGACGATGACAAGCATGTAGTGCTGATTTGTTAACGTACAGCATACATTTGAGTTATAAGTTTTTTCTTTTAAACCAGCTAAACAAACACGAGCGAATCTGAAAGTATGCCAATATAAATACAATTGTGACTATAATAAGCATTAAAGTGCAATATATTATAAATCTCCTACGGATTGTGGTCCGCTTATATTGATATACACCCATATTTGTAAGTATTCTGGTTTATAAAATATGTCCCCGTCTCCAAACATATATGTTTTAATCTACACGTATATATTAAACCAATATACATAATACGATATATACATCATTT